TTGGAGCTAGATTTGTAGACAAGACATGCCTCAAACTCAGAGTTTTGCCTGCCTCTGTCTTCAGAGTGCTGGAATTAAAGGTATGTGCTGCCACAATTGTTACAATTTTTATTTACTCATTTATTTCTTGGGATGGCAGTCTATATTGCCCTTGCTGGTCTTAAATTCCTAAGCTCAAGCAATACCTCTGCCTCAGCCCCATGAGTAGTTGGCACCATAGTCATACATCGCCATGCCCAGCTATGGCTTCTTGTTAGAAAATAGTATCTTGGGACTCCACTTTTCAAGGACTACAGCTGAACACACTGTCCTACTTGGTAATAATTAGTAGACATCGACTCCATCTTGTCGAGAGTCAGACTTCCAAGGTTTCCTTTGTATCCCTCACTTTGTCATGATGCCCAAATCTAAGACATCCCACCATTAGAAATACAGATCTAGTAATTTCCCAAGTTCTCTTTTCCAACCTACAAATGTTTACTGACCTCCTGCTTTGGGCTAGACACTTTATTAGGACAGTGATGAAAAGAAGGCATAGTCTTTGCTCTCATGGAATTTATAGCCTGGATAATTCCTTAACACTTACCAGGCTGGACTCAAACTCAGAGATCTGCCTGCCTCTGCCTCTTAAGTGCTGGGATTAAAGGTGTATGTCACTAAACCCAGCTGACCATCATTCTTTTTTTTTTTTTTTGAGAGGGGGGTCCGAGACAGGGTTCCTCTATGATTAACAGTTCTGGAACTTGATCTGTAGCCCAGCTGGTCTTGAAATCATAGAGAGTCACCTGCTTCTGCCTCCTGTGTGTTGGGATTAAAGGCACGTGCCACCACCGCTGCCAGGCTCATTCTTATGATGTCCTGAAAGACCACTTCAGACTTGTATAGTTACTCGATAATTTCCTTACAGCAAATGAAAGCATCACCTTTTCATTACCTTAACTTCTAATAACCTGAAAATGCAAGATTGTATCAAAAAATTAGTTCGGTGATGACCTAGCCAATATAATACTAAGGTTTCTGGAAGAGAAGGATGTTTGGATAAGCCTCTTTCCAGCTCTCATTAATCAGGATTGCTTACCTCTTTCTAAGGCTTTACTTCTCAGATTTTCTCCATATGCCAAGACAGGCACAGAGATCGACACTCCTGGAGACAGTTGCTCTCAGCTACAGAGAAGTTTAGGGTTTCAGCTGCTTACAGCACAGTCCTATCATCACACATCTGCTTAAGTGCTGAGGAAGGTCAGAGCGGCTCATATAACAGGCTCACACTTACAAAGCTGAATAACAGGCCAAACCAAATTCTCACTCATTTAATATGACCTTGTGACTCTGACACAAGACCTCAGCATCTATTTGAAATTCCACAGGCACTTGGAGCTTCAAGGGCATTCTATTCCTAGTGCCCGGAAAATCAGAGATGTGAAACTACAGCCCAGTGTCACAGATAAACAAGTTTCCTGGAGGTTGCACTTTCTCTGGCTCACTTGTACAATTTAAGCACAGGATTACAATTAGACCTAGAGAACTTGCTTACTCAGCAAACTCATCCTTTAGTGAGTTAGATCCCAAAGACCTAGGGAGTGGTCAACAGCATCTCTCTGATTCCTCAAAGTGACCTTGAAGAAACCACAAAACACAAGGTAGTTTCCTACACACAGCTCAACATGAAGAACAATTTTAAAGATGACATTTTTCTGGGCCTGGTGGGAAAGGTCCATAATCTAAGCTGAGGCAGGAAAATTCCAAGATCTGTCTTAGCCTCAGAGTGAGTTCAAGACCAGCCTCAGCAATTTAGTAAAACCCCATCTCAAAATCAAAAGCGAAAAAGAGGGCTGGGGTTATAATTCACTGCTAGAGGTCTTGACTAGGTCCAACACTTAGTAGTAAGGAAAAACAAAACAAAAACATCAACTACAGTGGGGCTGCCAAGAGAGTTCAGTGGGAAAAGGCTCCTGATGCCAACATTGAAAACCTGAATTCCATCCTAGAACCAGCATGTGGAGAGAACAAACTCACCTACACACACTCTCTCACTAAAAAAAGATAAACACAGAAAGGTGAAATTTGTAGCTCAGTAGTTTAGTAATACAGTGCATAATTGACATATATTTTATTAGTATGCATTGGGCCCTGGGTTAGATACTGTTAGCATTTAGCCATTTGTACTGTCCTGCCTTTGGAGTTCTGACAAAATACGCCCTCAGCTGCTGCCACTAAGAGCACCACCTGTGCCTATTCAATATGTTCCCTTTTAAAAGGGCCCCGCCCACCTCCCACCCTCCTTTCTCTCCCTCTGTCTTTCTGTTCCTTCCTCCTCCCTGTCACTGCCTCTCTTTCCTCTTTCCCATCCCCAGAGGCTGGTCTCCCTCCTCCCCTTCCCCCATTTTACGATATTTTTCCCTTAATAAAAACCCCTCAGCTTGAACTCTGTTGCATGGTGTCTTTCTCAAGCTGCTTTTTAAAATTACAACATATACCCAACACTGGAAGAAAACAAAAGATGAACGACACTATGGACATTAGTAAACTTGCTTCCGTTTAGAAAATTTCAAGTGTACTAAGCATTTCATACATACTATCTCACCCATCTGCAATCTAATGAGTTATAATAAAGTAAACATGACTCTGCTACTTGGGATCTGGTCAAACAGAACTCAAAGACTCAGGATCCTAAAAAGCCAGTAATTGGCCCTCTATCGGTGACACACACCTTTAATCCCAGCATTTAGGAGGCAGAGACAGGCAGATCTCTGTGAATTTGAGGCCAGTCTGGTCTACAGAGTGAATTCCAGGACAGCCGGAGCTACACAAAGAAATGGGGGGCCCCCCCTCACAGTAATCTAATTAAAGTCTTTCAATGTCTTTCCAAGGTATGAGCAATGAATCCATAGCAATAGTCTACAAGGCCAGTAGCTTCCTGAGGCAATAACAAAATCTTCATCCAAGAAGTACAGTAATGTCATTAGCTTTGCCTCTTTTTCATTTGCTTTTCAAGACAGGATCTCACTCTGTAGCCCAAGATGGTCTGGGGAACTCATTATATAAGCAAGACTGACCTCAGACTCACAGCAATCCTCCTGCCTCAGCCTCCACAGTGCTGGGATTACAGATGTGTCCCATCATACCTGCTTTTATTGTTTTTCAAAATACAGATTTCTGAACTGGGAATACAGCTCAGTTGGTACATTACAAAACACCCTGGGATCAATCGCCATACAAGGCGAGGAAGACTTAAAAACGATTTTTAAAATACAAGTTTCTATCTCATATCTTGTTTTGGTTTTGTTTTGTGAGACAGGGTCTCTCTGGCTGACTTGGTACTCAACATACAGTCTATCTAGTATAGCCTCATATCCATAATCCTCCTTCAGTTTCCCAAACTGGGGTTACAGCATTTGAGCTACCACCCAACTTCTGAAATCAAACTGTAAGCTGACCATGTAGCTTACCATCATTTAAATTATAAGAGGTCAGGTCCCAAGTTCAATCTCCGTCGTCCACAACAAAAAGTAGAGTGAAAAAATTTCCCCCCAGGGAGAGCCTCTGGAACTCCTATCAGACTGTCTTTCTCAACTTTTGGACATCCTGGAGTGCAGTGATCATAGGATTGCACCACCATACCAGGGCATCGGGATATTTTGTTTTTGAGACAGGCTCTTATGGCCCTAAACATATGCATAGCCTAGGCTGGCCTACCTCTGTCTCATAAAAGTCAGGATTACAAGTGTATTTACCTTTTTTTTTTTTTTTTTTTTGAGACAGGGATTCTCTGTGTAACAGCCCTGGATGTCCTGAAATTCATTCTGTAGACCATGCTGGCCTTGAAATCACTGGGAACCGCCTGCCTCTGCCTCTCCAGTGCTGGGATTAAAAATGTGCACCACCACCGCCTGCCCGTATCCCATTTCTACTAAAACTCTTGAATTTGTATCTTGAAAAATTACTCCAAGAGAATTTTAGATCATTAAGGTTGAAGACTTGCACTTGTCTTAAAAATTAAAGTGTCTGGGTTTTGGGGGGGCAGACAAAAAAAAAAAGATGAAGAGGATGCAGTACCTATCACACACATAGGTGTTTGCTGTGACTACCTCAGATGCTGGCTATCACAGATGCTCTATACTATGGCTTAATCTGTATCCATTCAAAAGTCAGTGTTGTAATAGCTTCTACCAAACACTACTGCCCTGTGAAAACAAGGGAGAGTTTTCCAAGGAAAGACATCGCTGATAGATTTTAAAGGACACATGTAAGTTTCCTATACTGGTGGGGGAGGGTGGAATGAAAGAAGTTTCACAAACCGAGAAAGCAGCTTATCTAAACCTCGAGGGTAAGAAACCATGGGCTAACAGGAGGCTCACGTGCCTCAACAATACACTACATAAACCCAGTACAGTGCCCAGAAGTTGACTGTAGGGCTAGGCCTCATCAAATTTTGAAGAACTCTAAATGCCGCAGGTTACAATGTTTAGTTTTCCCCTGCAATGACTAGGAAGGCAGTTTTAACTAGTGATTTTTAGGTGGGGCTGATCACTGCAGCAGCTTCACAGAGGACTGAGCGGGGATGGGGCTCTCCTTGTAAGTATGACAGGTCTGCCGTGCAAGCGACCCAGCTGGACTCTGGTCTTTTTCCAGCCAGTACACGGAAGCGATCGGTGGCCCCCGCAGGACCCTGACGTTTACTCGCAAAGGGAGGGTGTGGAGTAGGCGCCGCACACAAGGTTAGATCAATCTGACCCGCGCTGGACGCGGGACGGCTGAGCAGCAGACAGGGCAGCTGACCAAGTCCATCGGGCCCAACGCCGCAGCAGGTTTGGAGGCCATGCCAAGCGACCGTGGGTAGCCACGGCCCGGCCTGCTCCCCAGTCCGAAGGCCCCAGTGCACAGGGGCCGAGGGCTAGGAGCTGCACTGCGGCGGCCCGGCAGCGCCAAGCCCACGCCGCGGCCGAGCTCGCCAGCCCCTCACGCCGGTCAGGCCGAAGCCCCGAGCCGGAAGGCCTCACCTCGCGCGGGCGGCGAGCTCTTCGGAGTCTCGGCGGCTCAGCCCACCGTCTCCCGGCCCAGGCCACGGACGCCGCCGCCATCCTCTCGCGTCAGCGTCGTGGCGTCATTACTGCGCGCGCCTGACGCCAAAACAAACTTGGGCGGCCTACAGGGAGGGACCCAGGCGGACCCTCTGGGCAGTGTACGCAGGGGCCTGCCAATCAACGTCTTCCGGGCGGAGACCCGAGCGGAGGGGTGGGTCCATTTGTGGCTCGAAGCCGCTAGGGAGCTAGCTGGCTGTGGGAGTGAAGTGTGCTGGGAAACAGAGAATCCGGGAGAAAATGTCAAGATGAAGGGGCTTTTGAAGGGCGAGGAGAGAACACAGCAAGCACAGAGGTTTCTCAAACTGCCTCTGGATCTCCGCAAATAACTGACTTAGATTTCATTACTTTAATCTATTTGTACTGTTTCTTTTGAAACTCGATCTAACTCTTTCACTGACTGGCCAGGAATACACACTGTGTAGTCCAAGCTGGACTTGAACTCTCGGAAATTCTCCTCCCTCGGCCTCCCAAAATGCTGGATTGCACGCTAGTCTTTAACTTTACTTTATGTGCATTGGAGTAAAGGTGTCAGGTCCCTTGGATCTGGAGTTAGACAGTTGTGAGCTGCCATGTGGATGCTGCGAACTGATCCCTGGTCCTTTGGAAGAGCAGCCAGTGCTCTTAACCGCTGAGCCATCTCTTCAGCCCCCTACACGCTAGTCTTGAAATCTATTTTTTGAAGTCAGCTTTGGATCAACTTCTAGACAGTCTTGGGTCCCGTCCCGTGGTGTGTCGTCGTCGTGGTCATGGTGTGTCCCGTCCCCCCCCTGCCCACCCCCTCCCGCCTTCCACCAGACACGGTTTCCCTGTATAGGCCTGGCTCTCCTGGAACTTGCTCTGCAGACCGGCCTTAAAGATTTTTAAAAGATCCTTACCAATCTGGGCATGGTGTGGCACACACCTTTTAAAAAATTCCAAAGCAAAGGCAGATGGATCTCTGAGTTCGAGGCCAGCTCACTACATAATGAGTTCCAGGCCAGCCAGAGCTGAGCAGGGAAATCCTGTCTCCAAAAAAAAAAAAAAAAAAAAAAAAAAGCCGGGCGTTGGTGGCGCATGCCTTTAATCCCAGCATCCCAGCACTCGGGAGGCAGAGGCAGGCGGATCTCTGTAAGTTCGAGACCAGCCTGGACTACCAAGGGAGTTCCAGGACAGCCTCCAAAGCCACAGAGAAACCCTGTCTCCGAAAAAAAAAAAAAGTTGTATCCTGTAATCCCAGTAGTTCAGAAGCAGCAGAAAGAAAGTCTTGAGTTTGAGGCTAGCCTGGGCTACATGCTGATGTCATATCTCAAAAACAAAAAAATTACCAGTGTGTTAACACACACCTGTAATCCTAGCATTCAAGACCTAGGTTATATGTGAATTTTCTTTTCTTTTTTTAAATTTATTTTTCAGTTTAAATTTAGATAAGAAGCAAGGTTGCTTCACAAGTCAGTTCCAGGTCCCTCTCCCATTCCCTCCCCTCCTCCCGTGCCCTCCCCCAACCCCCCATTATCCCCTCATTTCCCCAGGTAGGGTGAGGCCCTCCATGGGGGTGTCCATAGTCTGTCATTTCATATAGGGCAGGGCCTAGACCCTTCCCCAAGAGTTCAGGGTGAGAGTGCACCTCACATTGTTGGATGGGAGTCCAAAGTCCATGTGTATACTCAGGATGGGTACTGATCTGCTGCCCAAGGCTCAATAGATTACCTAGGCCTCCTCACTGACACTCACATTCAGGGGGTCTTGATCAGTCCCATGCTGGATTCCCAGGCTGATGCCTGGGGTGAATTTTATTTTCAAACAGCCACAACGAAAATTGTTTCCCAAAGTGTAGTGGAATTACTCAAAACATGGACTTTAACCTGGCATGATGCACACCTTTAGTCCCAGTGCTCTGAAAAGCATAGGCAGGTGGATGTTCAGAGGTCTCAAGGACAGCATGGCTTATATAGAAACAGGACAGCCTGGGCTGCTGCACACTGAGACCATGTCCTAAAAAAAAAATGATGCCTGACAGTGGTGGCGCACGCCTTTAATCCTGGCGCTTGGGAGGCAGAGGCAGGCCGATCTCTGTGAGTTCTAGGCCAGCCTGGTCTACAGAGCGAGTTCCAGGACAGCCTCCAAAACAATACAGAGGGGCTGGAGAGATGGCTCAGAGGTTAAGAGCACTGACTGCTCTTCCAGAGGTCTTGAGTTCAATTCCCAGCAACCACATGGTGGCTGACAACCATCTACAATTCAATCTGGTGTATATGTAATAAATAAATAAATCTTAAAAAAAATACAGAGAAACCCTGTCTCCAAATAAGACAAAACAACAACAAAAAACATTGACTTTGGAACCAAACCTGGGATCAAATCTCAGTTCTGACATTTCTCACAGTGTGTAAATTCTTAGGGAAGACGTCTCCCTCAAACCAGTTTACATGCTGTTTTCCTAGCCTCCTAATGACTATAAACCTATATAGGCAGTCGGTGGTGTTACACGCCTTTAATCCCAGCACTAGGCAGAGGCAGGCCCATCTCTGAGTTTGAGGCCAGCTAGGTCTCCAAAGGGGGAGTTCCAGGACAGCCAGGGCTACACAGAGAAACCCTGTCTGAAAGAAATCATAATCCCAACCTCACAGAAAGTATATATATGTATATATATTCTCCAAGGTTGATGACACCCAGAAATCTATACACTTTCATTTGACAGATATTTGGCAAATAAATATTTATTCAAATATTCAGGTGCACCATGGTTTGGGCTCTAGGACAAAGCACAGGCCTGGCATTGAAGTGTGCTGGTGTGATGGCAACTGGATCCAGAACACCTGAACAACAAATTACACTTTGCCTGAAGATCTGCAGCTGTAGAACACTGTCACTGTAATGCTCAGGCCTAGGCAGCTGTGCCCAGGACCCAGCATCTTGGCTATCTTCCCACCCCTCTGCTCTAGCTCTGAGATAAAACCCATAAAGCCTTTAAGCCCCTGACCAGAGAGCAAATTCTTTCCCCACTCATCCTCCCATGGAAGGGTAGGGACTTAGGGAGTAAAACATCAGGGTAAAAATAGGTCACTGTAGGATGGTAATCCCCAACAATGGCTGGGCAGAGCAGCCAGCCCTGCTCAGAGAAGCATGCTGCTCCTGACCATTTATTGGGTCTAGAAATCTTTTAGGATCTGACACCCTAGCCTATCACCGCCCCCCCACCCCAACTGTATGTCCAGGCTGAGAGAGATGTCCCAAAATGCTATGTCCCTCTGCACTGGATTTATTCTCAGTCCAAGGTCTTGCTGACTATGTTGAAGTTACAGATTCTTCCATTCTATATACTCCATAGCACACTCCTTCTTTTTTATAATTTATTTTTATTTTGTGTATACTGGTGTTTTGCCTGCATGTATGTCTGTGTGAGAGTGTTGGATCCATAGGAGCTGGAGTTATACACAGTTGTGAGCTGCCATGTGGGTGCTGGAAATTGAACCCCAATCCTCTGGAAGAGCATCCAGTGTTCTTAACCACTGAGCCACCTCTCCAGACACCCATAGTGTACTCTTTATCCTTATACTGGGTACTAGAGACACAAAAATTATCCCTTACCATTAAGGAGTTGACATTTGGAAATTTTCACTGGGACTTGGGCAATTACAAACCAGTGTTGTACTGAACAGGGAAAAGCACAAGATCTGTGTCTATTGAGAGGCAGTTTCAATTCAACTTATATTCAGAGCTACGGGGTACTAAATCTCTCCACAGCTGCTCACCTTTCTTGTACCACTTCTTTTTTATGACAAATTTTGATTTCTATTACTTTATTTGCTTGGTTTGTGTTTTTGAGACAGGGTTTCTCTGTATAGCCCTAGTTGACCTGATATTTTCTCTGTAGACCAGGAAGGCCTCAAACTCAGAGATCCACCAGCTTCTGCCTCCCAAGTGCTGAGATTAAATGTTGCATCACAGCCACCTGTCACCTTATTATTTCTTTATGTATAAGAACATGTGTACAGCCGGGCGGTGGTGGCGCACGCCTTTATTCCCAGCACTCGGGAGGCAGAGGCAGGCGGATCTCTGTGAGTTCGAGGCCAGCCTGGTCTACAGAGCGAGTTCCAGGACAGCCTCCAATACATTACAGAGAAACCCTGTCTCGAAAAACCAAAAAAACAAACAAAAACAAAAAGAACATGTGTACACATACAACAGTTCCTATGTGGAGGTCAGAGGATAACTCATTAGAGTCAGATCTCTCCTTCTACCATATGGCTTGTTGGCAAGCACCTTTACTCTGAGTGCTGAGCCAGAGTATTTTGTGTATTTCACCAAAATCAAGCCTGGGTGTCATTCCTTAGGTACCATCTACCTTGTCTTTTTAGATAGGCTCTCATAGTGGCCTGGAGATCACAGATTAGGCTAGGCTGGTTTTCCAGCAAGCCCCAGAGATCCACTTGTTTCTGCTTTCCTAAGGCTGGAGCTACAAGTACATGGCACCATAATGATTTTTACATGGGTCCTAGGGGTCAAACTGAGGTCCTCATGCTTGAGTGTCAAGCACATTACTGAGTGAGCTCCCCAGCCCTTCTGAACCACTTGTAAGGCTGCTGTTCATATGAGCTATCGAGTCCCATATGCTATTTCTCATCCTCAAGGACTGGGTAGATAGAGCTGCAGGACCTTGTAGGTAAAAGGGAAGGAACTTAACACAAGCCATCAGTTTCTCAACCCAGAAAGTAGAGGAAGTGAATAACAGAAGCCCGTGAGACTAGGAACGGGGGCTGGAGAGATGGCTCAGAGGTTAAGAGCACTGACTGCTCTTCTAGAGGTTCTGAGTTCAATTCCCAGCAACCACATGGTAGCTCACAACCATCTATAATGAGATCTGGTGCCCTCTTCTGGCCTGCAGACATACATGGAGGCAAGATGTTGTATTCATAATAAATAAATCTTAAAAAAAAAAAAAAGACTAGGAACGGCAGCACATGCTTGTAATCCCAGCACCTAGAGAAGCAGCAGGAGCCGGGCGTTGGTGGCGCACTCCTTTAATCCCAGCACTCGGGAGGCAGAGGCAGGCGGATCTCTGTGAGTTCGAGGCC